CACAACTCGAACGAAAGCAATAATAATCACACTCAATTAAAAGTCCACCATACTCGACAAAGATATATCCAATAACACAAGATCAAAAGAAAATCCGACCACCCCAGGTCGGACTCCACAAAACAGTCATACATTGTCAACAAGAAGCTGGTTACCGACAATAACATCGATGCAGCCAACAAGGTAGTCGGACTGTCTCAGTTTTGACTTGATGAGACGTGTTGCCAAAGTCATTCATTCCAAAATACCAACGTCCAAGGATTAGGTCTGCATACACCCGTCTCCATACATTCCTGACCCTGACTCTTATACACATCTAGATGTGTATAAGAGACAGGCATAATACATAACGAAGACAGCTAGGTGCTGATCATGCACCAGGGCTTACTACAAACTCAGGTAAATGATAGTGGGTCATCGGTGACCCATTTAAAATAAAACATGTTTCTGCTGCGGCCTACTTGTGGCTGTTCATGTTCTGTATGTTCCTATGGAGGCTAAAATTCATTCTCTTGATGGTTTTTTGCAATTCGTATGTATTAACGTTGCACGCACTCATACATGTGCTTGACATGATTTGGATCATGGTTTCCGTCATCTTTAAAGGTTCAGGCAGTTGAAATTGCTTTTGCATCTGGGCCTATCAGACAGGCCTTGCACGCACTCATACATGGGCTTGACATAATTTGGAAATGGTTCAGTCATCTTTCAGGGTTCAGGCAGTTGAAATTGCTTTCGCATCTGCAGCTATCAGCCAGGCCAACTGGGCACCTTGGGCTGCCTGGGTGGCCTAGCGTCTTCCCCCAAAAGAACGTACGGTCATTATAGCCGTATTTGGCTCACCTCTGAGTCCAGATGCAGCAGAGATGACCGTACGTTCTATTCGCGGGATGAAGGTAGCCAGGCAAGGTCCAGGGAAAGTCCCCGACAACGTTCCTGAAAAGAAAAAAGAAAAAAAAGAGAAACATGATGCTATGCAGAAGATGGTATTTTCTCAAATTTGAGTTTTCCATCGTGAAAGAATCAGAATCAAGCATAATACATAACGAAGACAGCTAGGTGCTGATCATGCACCAGGGCTTACTACAAACTCAAGTAAATGATAGTGGGTCATCGGTGACCCATTTAAAATAAAACATGTTTCTGCTGCGGTGAAACGGTTTTCACCTTCAACAGTAGCAGATGCAGATCCCAGGGCTCGATCCCTAGACCTTGCCCTACCCATGTACAGTACCTGTGTGGAACCCAAGAGTTGAACCTGTGACCTGTGTATTCGTAAACAGTTGGTAGGCCTGTCATAGGTCCATAGGTAGCAGGGTTTCGATCTGTAGATCTATAGAGTAGGAGTCTTAGCGAGTTCCAGAAGCCTAGCTGTAGTCCTTCTAGAAGGTCAGCAAGTGGGCAAGTGGGCAAGTGGTGAGTCAAGTGGTGGACTAAACCGCAGAGCGATTGCAGTACGACTCGGTAGGTTAGCAGTAAGTCCACAGTCAGTCAGTGGTAAGGTCCAGTCAGTCCCAGTCCGGTCCAGCAAGTACCACGAGGGACTGTGAGCACCATGGGCCGATGGAAAAGGGCAGACCACCGAGTTTCAGAAGTACAAATCAAGAGGCAGTATCCAGCCTTTCATTCATTCCTGCTTGAGCCATGCGGAAGCGCTGCCACAGCGACTTGTGCAAGGAGGTCTGCAGAGAGCCCGGAGCTGAAGAGGGCGAGAGAGAAGGAGCGTAGCATAGCGATAGGGGAGAGGCAGCCATATCTGCCATAGCTGTAGTTTAGTGTGAAGTGTGTGTGTGTATGTGTGAGTGTTCAGAGTGACGCGTGTGGGATATCCAGGGGGATCCGGTGTATGTGAACAGTGAGTTGTTTGGGCGCTGAGTCGCCATAGCCAGTTGAAAGTGAACTCGCATCTGGATGCTATATCTCTGAGTTTTGAGTGGGCGCATGTGGCCAGTTTGCTGCGCTACTGTTTACATGCATGAAAAGTGTGAATGAGAACGAGTCTGATTGCAGCGGGCTACATGTGGCTGTTCATGCTATGTATGTTCCTATGGAGGCCAAAATTCATTCTCTTGATGGTTTTTTGCAATGCGTATGTATTAACCTTGCACGCACTCATACATGTGCTTGACATAATTTGGATCATGGTTTCAGTCATCTTTAAAGGTTCAGGCAGTTGAAATTGCTTTTGCATCTGGGCCTATCAGCCAGGCCTTGCACGCACTCATACATGTGTTTGACATAATTTGGAACATGGTTTCAGTCATCTTTAAGGGTTCAGACAGTTGAAATTGCTTTTGCATCTGCGGCTATCAGCCAGGCCAACTGGGCACCTTGGGCTGCCTGGGTGGCCTAGCCAGGCAAGGTCCAGGGAAAGTCCCCGACAACGTGCCTGAAAAAAAAAAAGAAGAAAAAGAGAAACATGATGCTATGCAGGATAACATATCAAACAACTTCTTGCATGAAGGCGACTCCGCGACTCTTTACCAAATTTGAAAATAAAAGAAGATCATACGAGTCCAGGCTGCAGGCTACACTGGGCCTGGTGGCCCAGCCGGGGAAGCGGTCCCAGGCCACTCTGGTAGGCTAGCTTTGCATCCCTTTCCCTGAATTCCCCATTTTACCCTGAAGCTCAAAATCCATACGGTCTGGCAGCAGTTCAACAGAGGGACTGTCCACTGATCAAGGGGGTCAAGCATCTGCAGGAGTGACGTGTGCGACAAACTTCACCCTATGTCTTCAAATTATCCTCTATTTGTGTGGTCAGCAAGTCCATAAAGCAACCACATTGCCGCCAAGGCAGGCTGAAATTGACACATAAACATAGACCAAGCTCCATTGATATTCTCCATAAAGCAACAACATTGCCGCCAAGGTGCTGATGAACAGTGGTAAAAGTGCACAGATTTCCTTTATAATAATGCTGAAAAGACTGCTGGAAGGAGGAGAACAAGGTCGACTGGTTTACCTCTAATCGTCCACCATGAGCATCATGCACATCCCTGTCATTCTCCAAACTTGCATCATTCAGTTCTCTGTCCTCACCAGCGATTCCTTCCTGGCATGTATACCAATCTCTCTCTTCTTGCTCCTTTTGCTGCTGAGCCTCATAGAATCCCATAACTTCAGCCAACGCCCCACCACCTTCCAACACATCGCATGATATCCTTTCCATTCGAATTGTTGATCCCGCATACTCAGAAAGTAGCTGCAACCAGTTGATAAGAAAATGCACTTGTTGACTTCACTTCTTCAATCTCATTCGAAAGGAATCAGTGGGCATTCCAAATTCAGAATAAAGCTATACACATCTGCATCCGTCACACATGCCACATAAATCAATCCTACCAATGCTGCAACTCCCCGACTCTTGTATATCATTCTCCTCCTCATCTGCTCAAACCGTCAGTACATCTGGAAAATCATGAATGAACCTTTCCGATAAGTTTGGGGACTCGGGACAGGGCCCGCCTGAGGGCAGGCGGAAATTTATTCTGTTTAGTGCTGTGCCTGGTCCCACCCCAAGGCACGGGACAATCTATTTTCCCCACCGCCTTTTGAATGCCCTGTCCCAAGCCTCTGTAATTTTAGGAGAGGCTCAATCACGAGTCTCAACTTGGCTGGGGCCAGGTACTTGATGTTTAAGGGCCACAATTTACAAGAGCACTCTATTGTTATGGTTCGAGGTGTGCCTAGTGTGAAATACCAGCATCAGGAAGGGGAAGGAGGCGGCGAGAGTGAGGGAGACAAAACCTGCCGCCTTTATGTCCCTTTCCTCCCCTCCTTGGAACTTGACTACCTTGACTCCATATCAACACAAAGCAGCCAAAAAATAGCAGGAATGAGACTTGTAAGTTTCAAAGAAGAAGGAAAAATCTATGGAACAACTAAACTGCATGTTACCTAACGATCCTAATCTCTATTCCCCCGATTTTCCATCACTTGTCAGAGGGGTTTTCAAAGCAGCTGATAAGGTGGCATTGGTGACTGGCTGAAACAAGGTTGTTCATTGGCAACCTTCAGCATGCCACCAGTCATGAGCAAAGAGGGCATTCATAAAGCAAACATACCAAGTGCACATCCGCATAACAATTGTATGCAAATTGAAAGAAATTAAGGGGACAAGGTAGGAATGAAAGGCCTTCCACGATTCAGACCCCAAATTCGAATTTCAGGGTCAAGGGCCTAGGCCAAGAAAGGCCAAGTCGGCCAGTTTCAGAGAAGTCACAGTCGGGTACCTTAGGAGTCAAGTCCAGCAGGCACCCGATGAACAGTCACATCCCAGGGGCAAAAGTCACATCTCATATTGAAGAGACGTATTGAAAAGTCATGTTCCGCAGGCAAGGGACACTTTCCCAAGCAAAAGTCGGGTCCCAGAGGCAAGAGTCACAATCCACAGTCAAATGTCATGTTTCACAAGTGAACAGTCGTGACTCACAGGCCCAAGCAGCAGCCCGCCAATGAAATTTGGGAACAGTACCAGGTCCTGACATTCTGAAGCAAACAGGCCGTGGGGATGTGGTACCAGAACCAAGTCAAGCCCCAAGAAGCAGAGGCCGGGACGAGTTGAAGCTCAGTCCAAGACAATATAAGGACTGGCCAGCCTCCTCATTCAGCAGATTGCTCATTCGCATGAAGTGTGGAAGTGCTAGTGCACTTGTGCGCTATTGTGAGGGGCTGAGCGCTGAGCCAGGGAGCTGTGCTGTTAGAGGGAAGGAGAGGGAGCAGCCATAGCTGCCCCAGCGCTGGCAGAGGGAAGGCAGCCATAGCTGCGCCATTGCTAGTAGTTAGTAGTAGACCTCGGAGGGGTTAGTAGAGTTAGCAGTGGGTGTGTTCAGAGTTGGTCCTTGAGTAGTAGAGGGTGTGAGTGCATGCAAGTAGGGAAAGAAGACACAGGGAGGTAGTAGAGAGAGAGAAGACCGAGAGAGAAGAGAGAAGAGCATTGAGGGAGATACTTACCTGAATGGAGATACTGGTTACTTGGGTTTGCGATGTTGAGCGCTTGTGACTGGAACTCTTAATTGCTCATATGATAATTTGTTGGAACTCTAAAGCTGCGCTTACCTGGTCTTCGTCTCTCTGGCCTCCAGTGTGAACTTCGTGTGATCTCATTCATGCATGGTGTGTGATTGTGTGCGCTCATTGGTGGTGAACTGAGAGGTTCATTGCAGGAAGACAGGTACATTGAAATGATTGAAATCATTTTCTTTACTTTCTTATTTTGTTTCCATAGCAACGACCCACACAGAACGATCCTGAGATTTTGGCAGTTTGCTGAGTATTGCACTTGTTGGTTTGATTTTCTGAGATTTCCATGTCTCGAGTAAGATTGACCTGATAATTGCTATGGGGAGTACTAACTGTGTTCCCCCACTGTGTTCTGGGAAGTTGCAGCATTGGGAAGCGGTAGTTTGGAAATAAGGGAACTACAGGGATAGGATCATAGGACTGAAATTGGAGCCCGGACGGACTTCTAGATAGAGAGACGACATGGGAGACTGATCTTCGGCTGTGGTGGACCTTTATCTCCAGTTCCTTGTTTGTGGAGGTACCAGCTGGTATTGGGCTTCATCCGACAGTAGTTGCATTGTCTTTTCAACATCCGTGATGGAGATGGATGAAACGCCATAGCTAGAGATGCAACCAAGAGGAGAGGAGGGAGGTTGGGCCTGAGACACGAGCTCTTTCAGTGGTGGCAGTATGAAAGAATACTCGGAGACGACTCCTGTTCATCCATTCATTCATTTGTTGTTGTGAGGGCGAAGAGAAGGGGCAAGACACTGGTTCCAACTTGTGTAATCCTCCTTCCTCTTCTATCCTGTCCATTCTATTCCCCTCTTTATCTGTCTCCAAATTTTCTTTCTAGTTCACCAAACCTTGAGTTTCCTCACATCTCATATTTGCATTATGGATTATGCAGGATCATCTCACTATATTCTTTTTTTCGTATTGAGGTTGAAGTTTCGACCACACTTTGGATGCAAATGTCGAAACTGTCATCAGTTATCCCAGCAAACTTGGAGCCAATAGAATACAGCAGGTCCAATGCATAGAGGTAACGAACGAGTCAGGGGTGGGCAGACCTTGGCAACTGAGGAAGGGAGGGCCACAACGATGATATGGGTTATGAATTTTAAATGCAAGGGTACCTTTACCGTTGACCATTACCACAAAATAGTCACAATCAATAGCATACAATTGATTGCAGGCCAGGATAAAACCAGCACGGCGCATCGCAGGTGCACACCCAGTCACTGCAATACCATCAAGTCTAACAGTCGTTAACAGCCATTATAAAATGAGATACTGCATACCATTGGGTCTCTTCCCTGTTAACATCTGTTAGACGCAATGGTATGAATCTGACGGCTGTTAGACACAGCGATATGCACTACAGGTGGATTCCGCACCTGATAATGGCTCACAGACCCAATGGTACACAGTGCTATAAACCTGCAAACGGTAAAGACAACAAGATCACAATGGCTACCTACTTCTCCTCCACCATCCTCATAATACTGAAGCAACCATCTTCTTCTACTCTTTCTTCGCCATCCCCGTACATTCATTGATATTGACAATCAGGGTGTTAAATCCACTTCCATTTCCTTTTTCTTTTCCCTTCCACTTCTTTTTCATCTACTGTCCTTCACCATCCTCATCATTCATTGATCTTGACAAGTAGCGAGGAAGACCTACATTTTTTTTTTTCAAACTTCATCTTCCTCTTTTTCTCTCCTTCTTCCTCTTCTTCTTCTTCTTCTTCTTCTTCTTCTTCTTCTTCTTCTTCTTCACCATCCCCAACTGACATCACACAACCATTGTCTACTCCTTCCTCACAGTACCCATCCTTGATTGACCTACTTTTTTTTCTTTTTTTTTTTAAATATTGCAAGGATATCCATCCTCGGCAGGTTCTAAAAGGAGGCCCTTTTGTAGCCTTGTGCCCGCCCTAAGTGAAGGTGGGCCTGCATTTCCCCATGAGGCCTAAAGTGAACATTTCAAGGGCATTCGGGAGCGCCAGACAGTTGCAGGCCGCCGGTTGGTTGAAGGGCCCAGCACACTGTGCAACCGTGACAAGCCTGAGCCTACTAGGATCTTCTAGGATCGTCCTTTCCTCCTATCAGGTTGCAGCGAGCGGCGCAGCCCACGTCGGACAATTAGGCAAACTGCTTCGGTCCCAGGCCACTATCTGAACTGGGCCTGGGCGCAGACACTTCGGCCCAACGTGAAGCTACTGGGCACACGGCCGCCAGGCCACGCAGCCAGCAAGCCCAGCCACTTTCCATATAGGAAAGTGCCGGGCTGCCCGTGCGGTACTCGGGCACTCACATTGTGTGCGGCAGCGCTGCTTGCATGAGCACTCCGAGGCCGCAGGTGGGAGAGCTCGTGCGTACGCGGGCTCAGGGGGTGAGGGCCGCTGCTCGAGACAGTGCAGCGCCGTCCCAGCCATAGCCGGGCTTGGGCGCAGAGGGCCAGCGGGAATGGTGGTGGTCTTCGGTGGAGGAAGAGCATGTGGGAACAGATGAGGGTGAAATAAGAGAGGGCGAAAGGGAGAGAGCGAGACATTGAATACACTGTTGATGGTGGCGAGAGACGGCTGACATTGACAAAGAGTTTTGCTGGTTTGGTCTCCTACGGTGTGATATTTGTCCATTTCCGCTTTCTGGACAGCTCACGACTATCTGGCTTTCAATGTGATGTTGCAATTTGGAATTCTGTCATTTCGCTCTTGCTCATTTTCCTTGCACTACTGAGACAAATCTCCTTCTTCTTCATCACCATCACCATCACCTGTTTCTTCCTCACCATCCCCATCATTCATGGATCTTCACAAATGGTGAGGTAAACCGAGTCCTCTACTTCTTCTTCTTCTACTACTACTACTAGTACTACTACTACTACTACTACCTGTTCTTCTACAAGTAGAAGATGACTGTAGGGGATTGTGGCGGCTTAAAAGAACCCTTCCAAGGTGTGGAAGGTGATGAGAGGCAAGTGCTGTTGTGACAGCACGACATTTGGAAATGGGTGGACCAGGGCCAGAAGACGATGGTGAAGTCACGTGGTTTGCGGAGAACACAGTAAGAAGTCTTGCTCCAAAGACTTTGAAGGGGTGAAAGCATACAAGCAGGAAGATTCTAATTGTCATTTATAAAACGCAAGGAACGAGTAAGACATCAACGAAACTGATGAGCAAGCTGAAGGCAGCAGAAGTGCCACTCGCCCGGCAGATGATTAAGAGCGACAGCATGGGAGGAGCATGGCCATATGACACAGGACAGATCATGTCTCTGCTGGTCAACAATGAGGCTGCCAAATATCTTCATGGTTGTTCAACTGCAGAGTTGAACCCGCCTTCGTCCACCACGACCTCCAAGCAACAACGCTGCAAGGCAACAAACCTCCATGACCAACCACTCGGTTGACAAACTGAAGAGGGAGATGAACTGTGTAATGGCGCTGTTTGTTTTGAAATCTTTTCCGCACTCAACGTAGCACAGTCCGAATCCTAAAAGAACATTGAGAGGATCATGGGTGGGCAGCCAGGGTGAGGTTGATGCTGCCATATTACAACCCGTTGTGGACTGACGAACCACAGGAGCTACAACCTGACAAATAACAGAGGGGACTGACGAACCACAGGAGCTACAACCCAACAAATAACAGTATGGACCCGATCCAGGCAACATGGTCTAAACACAGGACATTGATGACCGATGGACTACGATAACCAGTAAGAGGCCAGTCATGAACTTTATCACTGCAGGGGACAAGGGGGCAGTGATGGTGAAAGTGTTGACATGGAAAGGAAGGAAGTCAGCACCAGCCTTGTGAAAGATGTGTGAAGGGGTCATCAGGTGGCTGGGTGTCGCATACCGTAAAGGTGCAGACCAGAACAAGAACCGACCTCTCTCACATAGTACAAGATAGCGTAGCGGAAGGCTAATATACCAATGATCCGACCAATCAATGTCCCAGTGCAGACCAAACATACATCATCATCATCGCATGGTGTGAAGGGACCTGGCGCTCACACAGGAAGAAGGCGCCGGTCCCGCACATACACAGATGAAGAGGGGGGGGATTAGACGAAGAAGAGGAACGAGTTGACCACATAGTCGCAACGCTCGGCGACATCAACATCTTCGCCGCACCAGCCACCATCAACGAGCAGCTCGGCACCTTGCAGGCCGAACTTAGGCAGCTACACCAGCCACCCGACAACAATCGCAGCACCGGTGCATCAAAGCACTACAAGATGGCGACGTTCCGGATCGAGAAGTTTGACGACTATACGCATCAGGACCCAGTCGTCTGGTGGCAAGGCTTTACAACGGAGCTTGGGATTCATGAGGTCCTCGAACATTTGTACATCGCGGCGCTGTTCAACGTCAAGGGCGGATGGCAAATCTGGCTCAGCCACATGGCAACCATCCACGGCGTCAAGGTCAACAACTTACACAAGTACATCTCTTGGGAAGATCTAACGAGAGAATGGAAGAAGCGGTTCATTGTTGACGATGCCCCGACGCTCGCCATCAACCGCCTCTTTGCCATGACTCAAGGCAACACATCGATGTGCGATTTGCCCACGGAGTGGCAAAAGATCGCGGCAACACCCGATCTCGACTTGTCATTTCCTCATCGGCGCCGAGAGTTCTACAGCCGATCGTGTGCCGCCTTGAGCCTCGCATTCGGAAATCGCGAAATCATCCACAAGGGTTGTGAGATCATCAAGAGCAATCGGGCTGCTGCACATAAGAAGACATTGTGGCAGCCAGCCCATGTGGAGAAAGGAAAATTTGGTCTGCGTCCGCAGCAAGTCGTTGCAGTCCAACCGGACAACATTGTGGAAGATTTGAAAACCACTCCAACATCACGTGAGGGAGATCAGGTGGCCGCCGTCGAGCCGCGAAGCAACAACAACTGTCGTGGAAAAGGGAGGGCGAGAACCGCATCGCCAGCTGAAACGGATAGCCAGTACCATGGGTCAAGTTTAACTTGAACGAGGGGCTGCTGCTATTGGTGCAACAACACCAAGCACAAGACCTTCCCATGCCAGGATCAAGGCAAGGAGGACGTTCGACCTCGAATCAGCTCGGGAACGCGGGAGGTGAGGCGACTCCACCTCTCACTCTGCTAGATTCGGCCGCCTTGCTAGCGGCCTCCTACACATCTGGGGAGAATGCGGATGTCGCGAGTCCTCGGTTCACTTACGAGGATTACTCTGTCCACTTGGTGCCACCGTTGGACCCGCCACTCCACGTGCAACAATTCACCGCATGCACGGTTTCACCACCATCGGCAACCGATTTGCCAGCTTCGCCGCCAAATTTCACAGGGGATTCGACGTTATGGTCAAGACTTGAAGAGCTCGACCTGTTGATGTTCGAGGACTTCCAATGGATGCCCCTTCCCCCAACTGGTAAAAAATCATTGTGGTCGATTGCCGAAACCGCATTGCAACGTGCTCATGGCACAATTGCGGGATTACTTGCACACTGCAGTGCCAGCTCCGTTGATGGACGTTGGAGTAGAGGTTGTTGATTTTCACGACTACGTTGCGAAGACCGACCGCGAGTTCAAGACACAACGGTACGACGACATCGACGCGCCATTGTTGTACATACACATTCAGATCGGAAAGGCGACCTGCAACGCTTTGATTGATTGCGGAGCTAGTCGCAAATACATTAGCCAAGACTTTATGGTACTCGCTGTCCTTGGGTCACGCGTTCGGAGGAAGCCGCAGCCCACGCAAGTCATGTTGGCCGACGGTCACACGCACAAGTCAATCGACCGGTGCATTGATTCCGTCCCCGTGTACTTTTGCCCTCATGCAAGCGAGGCCGTATCCTTTGACATTTTGGACACCCAATCCGACATGATTTTGAGCATGTCATGGCTGCGAAGCGAGGATCACCCAGTGAACTTCTACCGCTGCACCGTTCACGTTCGTGATCGGAATGGAGTACTTGTCCCATGCACGGTGCCTCCTCCTTACCCTTCAATCAGCTGCCATGTGGTGTCCGCCGCTAGCATTTGAGCTTCCATCACCAGGGACGACATTCAGGAAATGGGGGGGTGTTTTCTTCACGGGGCATAAGCTTTCCTTCCCTAAGGGGTTGTCACCACCCCTAGAGGCATATCCCTACCGAGTTACTGACCGACGTGCGAAAGCTTTTAAATGCAATCGCAGAGGTAGGTCAATCGAGGGCGTTTGCTCGTTTGCTATAGTATAGATACGCTTGGTTAACGCCAAGTGGACCCGAGCGTCGTCCGTTCCCTAAGTCGCTGATCTCTTAAGTACGAAGCGAACGTCGGTTGACTAGTACGGTCTCAACCAAGCGTGAAACCCACAACTCAATCCTAGTCCCTTAGACACACAACTCGAACGAAAGCAATAATAATCACACTCAATTAAAAGTCCACCATACTCGACAAAGATATATCCAATAACACAAGATCAAAAGAAAATCCGACCACCCCAGGTCGGACTCCACAAAACAGTCATACATTGTCAACAAGAAGCTGGTTACCGACAATAACATCGATGCAGCCAACAAGGTAGTCGGACTGTCTCAGTTTTGACTTGATGAGACGTGTTGCCAAAGTCATTCATTCCAAAATACCAACGTCCAAGGATTAGGTCTGCATACACCCGTCTCCATACATTCCTTATCTTCTTGGATGACAGACTACTTTGCTAATGATTCTTGATCAGGTGCATTGCTTGAAGTGTTGCATGCCTCTCCCTTTAGGAAGTGGTCTGGGTTACTCCTTGCCTGAGCACAAAACTCGGATCTCAGAAGTCGGTCTGTCTCCACCGAATCGGCTAAGTACCCCCCGTAAAACGGTCCACTCTGGGTCAATAACAGGGCCAGCTCGTAAAGCAACGAACCCCCGCCCTAGATGCTTCGTGGAGAAAAAGAGTGTATGCACTACAAGTAGCTTTCAATTATTCTTGTTTCTCTTAAGTTCAGGGTAACTTAGACGAAAAAAACTTGAAGGAGATATAAAATGAGAATCATTTGGACAGGTACAGGTAGATGAGGTCATTCGGGATAGAAAAGGGTCAATCCTTGGGAAACAAAACTAAGTCCATTTGACCTGTTCTGCTTTATTTCAATCGCTTTCATTCTATGACACACGCATAATATTTTTTCTCAAAACAACAAGTGATTTTTACAGGCAGGCAGGTGTAAGGTTAAAAGAAGACAATATTTTTCAACTTCCCGAGTAGACACCATGAAGCTTGTCCTTTACAACATTCTTCTACCTACCTGCAATCAAAGCAAACAAACAATTTCAAAGGAAACCAATGCAACCCCATACACAAGTTAAGACTTTTCCATTCACTTGCATGACTCACACAACTTTCCTCTAACCTTTCAATGAACATTCAATGAACAGGGTCAAGCAAGTGTGGGTTCACATAGGTGTGAAGGAAAGTCTGAGTCAATCAACTAACCGACCTTGAGTGATGTGTGGCCCGGCTCACTCAAGAAAGTCGAGTATTATATCAATCACAAGAAATGACCTCGTAGAATATGAAAATATGCGGCTCAACTCCACAAGTTGTGGCCTCTCTCCTGAATCACGGTCCGCGTCCTCTCTAAACTGTTCAAAGAATAGAGGTTGGACCACAAAAAAAACTCAAGTGAGATAGCCCTCCTCGAGGGTGTTCCCACAAATGAGTTTTCACGTGGTCCCAATGTCTCAGACAGTCCCAATGCAGTCCCAACCGCACCTTAACCACCAAGGATATTCCAACCAACCGTAAGTCCATGCTGCCTCTCACTCTGTCCGCTCACAATAGCCATACCAACTTGTCCGTCCCGATCTCAAACTCAGTCCCACCTGGTCCAAAAATGGTCCCAGATAGACCCAATGCAGTCCCATACCATCGCCCACAATACCAAATGGTCCTGAACTCAAAACTACTCGCATTGCGCAGCGCAAAAAAAATAAAGGTAGCCCTGGTTGAAAACCGCATGTGCCGCAAGCCCAATAATCAATGTCGTGTGCACTCACTCCTCACTTTCTTCATGTTGCCGGCCCACACACCACTGCCGCACAATCCCAAATGTGCATCAGCGCCCATACTACTGCCGGATCATGAGAAAATAGCCCATCATCACCGTTGCGTACCACAAAAGTTAAAAGCGGAACCGCAGCTCGGCGCGCCGTCGAAACTGGTACCACGTCGCCGTGCCAAAAAATTATGCAGCAATTTCCACCCAAGTGTCGTTGCCGTGCCAAAATTTTGGCAGCGTAACCTCAAAAACAAAAAATATCACCGTTGTCGTGCCGCCAAACGGACAGCACCTCCCCTTAGGGAGACCTTGATGCTGCCACGCTGCCAGTCCAGCAGCACCTCCCCACACTCGCGTTGAAAAAAAACCTTCAGTGTCGCGCGGCCAGTCCTGCAGCACCTTCCCTTAGGAAGGTCTTGCTGCCACGACAGCAGTCCGGCAGCACAACCTCACTAGAAAAGGTGCCGCTTGCTGCATGCACTCGACCCTGACGCAGCCCACCGGCCGCAGCACCAGCACAAGGATGGGGCAGAGAGCCTCCAGCCCTTGGCTATGGCTACCTCTCCTCTCCTCCTCCAGACTTCCAACTCTCCATCAGCAGCACTTCCACCGGCAGCACCGCCCCACAGTAGCAGCCAGCCAGCATTCACTGAAGTGAATGCCCCAGCAGCATTGCCACAAGTGCGAGGCTGCTGGGTGGAGTGCTTGCTCTTACAGCCAGCCGAAGGCATGTGGGCAGCTACTTTGCCCACAGCTAGGCAAAATTCGTCGGTGCACCTGGCCCTTCATCTAAATCAACGGACAGGAGCCCGGCGCCTTGGTTTTATCCTAGGGGAACCAAGGTCATCAACCCCTAGGAGTACCTGGCCATTTTCCCAGGCCAGGTGCTCCTGGAAATGGCAGTGCTCAGCCATTTCACTGCTGCCTGCTCAAAACGAACAGGCGCAGTCCCATCAGCCCCTAGAAACTTCTGGGGCTGCACCTATTCCGCAGTCGAGGCCACGTACGTGGCCGTTACTTTTTTTTTTTTTTTTTTTTTTTTTTTTGTACCTCCCCCCTTTCTTTTCCCTATGCAGGGGCAACTCACCGCTCAAGACGAACGACCGCCCCCTCCTCTCAGTCATTTCACATGGTCGAACTTAGAGTCAAGCTCAAGAGAGTCTTCTTACCCTGTCCAATCGCGCCCCTGAACCTGGCATAATTCAAGGCCAAGTTCGAGCGCTCCACTAATAGCTACTGCCCATTCAAAACGAACGGGCGCAGCTCCACAAGGCCCTAGCAGAAGAGTACTGGGTGAACTAAAAAAACAAAACAAAAAAAATCTGAAGGAAATCTCAATAAAAAGAAAGAAAAATGAACTAAAAAAAAACTTACCTCGAAACGAACACAGGTTGTCCGTTCAAACGGGTGCCCACTCCTCCTACGAACCGTTCGTTGAATAGAACGGGCGCGACGGATAGTTCCATATCCTGGATGAAGATTCATTCCGATTTTGCTTGTCCTATCAATGGAGCCGAGGGAGGCCAATCGCCAGGTAAGCCCCCCCCCCCTTTCTCTCTCTCTCTCTCTCTCTCTCTCTCTCTCTCTCTCTCTCTCTCTCTCTCTCTCTCTCTCTCTCTCTCTCTCTCTCTCTC